TTGCTTTACCTTTGGCCCAGAGGTTACAGTCAACAAACCATGGACTGAACCTGTGAAACTATGAGTCAAAACTTTGCCTCTTCAAAGTTGATCTTATCAGGTTTTTTGGTCACAGTCATGCAAAGCTGGCTAAAACAGATAGCTTGTCTCTGTAAGCCAAGAATGGTCCTAAGAATTGCTGACCATCAAACTATCTCTTTCAATTCAAAAGGGATGATAGGTTTGTGAGTCGTAGGGGTAAAATAGCAAGATTTAATTACTGAAGATAAGGTGAATTCAATAAGGGTAACAGTGAGCAGAGCCAAGAAGTAGCCAGAATTGTCTGCCCAGAGGTCACTGGCATTGACTATTTGGTCATAGTGTCCCAAGGACTTAACTAGATAAGCACCCTGTTAAAGTTATAGGTACAAATGAAAACCCCTAAGTCTTAGGACTCAATTGTAAGTTGAATCTTCTCAATTGTGAATCCCAGACTTTCAACAAGTTTACAGACTTAAGCCAGTTTGCAGATTTAGAACCTATTGATTGAGATAAGGTTTTCTTGAGGAAGCATCTTGCTGATAATCAAAATTAATCTGTAAGTACTACTAATCTTCCTTAAAGGAACTTGTGGATATTTATCCAGTGGACTTTACATTGGTCACAAGAAAATAATCAGCCTTTGGTGGAAAGCTACACACTTGTTTAGAACTGATGTTAGTTCTTAGAGACCTAACGTTTCACTGTAGTCTACCAGTCAGAGAATGAAATTATGGAGATCAGAAAGTCAGTGGAGGTTTGGCTAGTAGGACTAGTTTTTAACCCCAAACCATCTGCATTTGTTTCCCTATTTCTGAAATGCAGTGGTTGAAATTGGCAGAATCTATCCACTGGCTCCCTGACTCATGAAACAAAGAGTAGATGATTGTGGTAGTATTATGGGAAGGCATCTATAAATATTTTTCCAAATTACTATCCCCTGGTTATCCAGTATAATATAGGCACCACAGTGGATGAAAGTTTCAGATATAATAACCATCCCAAATCAACTAAACATCTGATACAGAGATTGTCTGGATGGGCCTCATCTAAATCACATGGACCCTTTCAAAGATAACAGTTTTCTCCAGATGATAGCAGACTGCGAAGAGAGATTGGACCCGTCATTGCTGACTTGAAGATGGAGGAGGACACATGAAGATAAATGCAGTCTGATTCTAACTGCTGAGAATAGCACCTGGCTTGTAGTCGACAAGGTAATGGGGACTTCAACCCTACAACTGTGAGGATCTGAGTTTTGCCAGGAACAGAAATGGTCTTGGAAGGGGATCCTGAATTTGGAATGAGAAGGCATTTGGCCAACATTGATTTCTGCCTGAGCAAAGTACCCAGCCATGCTGTGCCTAGTGTCTGACCTAAAGAATTGTGAGCTAATAGATAGGTATTGTTTAAGCCACTAAACTGTGGTAATTTGTTAAGCAGTAATAGAAAACTCATACTGTCATGAAAGGCCAAGTAGAGGCCACTATATCTTCCTCTTCTACCGAAATAGTGAAATAATAATGAGGAGGAGGATTATGATAGTAATAGTAATTGCATTGATGTTATCTGTATTCCTAAGGACACTGCAGAATTTATTGCCACCATCAAGGAATTCAAAGTCTTTAAGGTGGTGATTTCTGACACAACCTCATTCAGCTATCCCTTTGGGCTTGTGAAGAGAACTGATGTCTCTTGAAGAATGATAATTGATTATTGTATTTTTTTTTGGGGGGGGGTGGTACCAAGGATTGAAATCAGGGGTTCTCAATCACTCAGCCACATCCCCAGCCCTTTTACTCAGTTGCTTAGTGCCTTGCTTTTGCTGAGGCTGGCTTTGAACTTGTGATCCTCCTGCCTCAGCCTCCCAAGCTGCTGGGATTACATGCATTAATCTTACATGTAAGACTACTGTAAATTTAATGATATGATATTTCTAATTGTATATTTTGGTCTAGATGTGGTTTCACTGCTATGGTATATTAAACACATCCTTCCTATACGATATTTATCTAAGAAGTGCTTTATCTGTACTCATTTGTAAAGAAAGATCACCAGTAGCAATTTTATTTCATCTAGAAGGACCAGTAATATGCTTTTACCGCTTTTCTGCAGGGCCACATCGATTCTTTAATTCTACGTCATTAGATAGTCCACAGGGACCTTCCTCAGCTTTCCAGACAACAGAATTTCATGTTCTTCCTAAACATTCACTATTGTCAGTCAGACTTTGTCTTGATAACAAATAATGGAGATACTCAACTTACAATGAGAAGAGATTTATTTTGGGTCACTGTTGTGGAGGTTTCAGTCCAAGGTTGGTTGGCCCCATTGCTCTGAGGCCTATGGAAACGCAGCACATCAGGGTGGGAGTGCAGGATAGAACAAAGTCACTCACTCCATGGCCAGAGCGTGAGTGGGAGGAAGAAGAAGTGACCAGGGTCCTGCTATACCCTTAAGGGCATGCTCCGATTCTCTGAATACCTCTACCAGGCCCCACCTCCTGAAGGCTTAACAGCTCCCCTAGAGTGCCCTGGACTGGAGACCAAGGCTTTTAACACATTCCAGATCCAACCATAGCAATCATGTTACAATAAGTGGATCCAATGAGTAGGGAGTGGCAACACCTTGTTTCCTGATTTACTTATTTAGAAAATCCCACCATTAGTCACTGCAACCTAATATTTATTTTTAGTTACTGTTGTAACAAATTACCACAGATTTCGAATTTGTATTGTAGAAATACAAATATATCATCTGATCCTTTTGAAAGTCAGAAGTCCTATAATTTGCTGTCAGGATTGTTTTTTTTTTCTGGAGGTTCTAAGGGAAAATCAGTTGGCCTCTTGCAGCTCCAAGAGATTGAATGAAGGAGTCGCCTGGTGATCCCTCCCTCCATCTCCAAAGCCCACAGCACAGCTCCTTCACATCTCTCCTGTGGCTGTCCACTTTGCCTCCATCACAGTCTCCTCTGACTGGGACCCTTCTGTCTTCCTTTTGTCACAATTCTTGTGATTACATTAAACCCTCCTGGATAATACAGTATAATCTTTATATTTAAGATATTTAATCACATCTGCAAAGTTCTTTCTGACTTATAAGGTAAGACATTTTCAGACTCCAGGGACTGGTATATAGGCATTTTTGCAGAGGCAGGGGCATTGTTTTACTAATATGTACCTCATTGAAATTTCTCAGGTTTCTTTGATCTGAGACAATTGGGAGGTTTGGATACGAGGTGTTCCCTGAGAGTTCTTGTGTGAAGCAATGCAGTCATGTTCAGAGATGAACTGATTAGATTGAGAGCTGCAACCCAAACCATGGATCATTCCATCTGATGGAAAATAATTTAAAAGGACTGCTCTTCTGGGTACCTATAGGCAAATAGGGTGTGACTAGAAGGAGTAGGTCATTGGGGGCATAGCTTTGGGGTTTGTATTTTGTCTCTCTCCCTCCCTTCTTTCCTCCCTCTCTCCCCTTCCTGGCTTCCATAAGCTGAGAAGCTTTCCTCTGCCATGTTCTGCCTTATCTCAGTCCTGGAGCAATGGATCCATCCAACCATGGACTGAACCTCTGGAATCATGAACCAAAATAGACTTTTCTTCCTCTAAGTTATTCTTGTCAGGCATTTTGGTCACAGTCATGAAAAGCTGACAAACACAGCAGTCAAGACAGCCTTTCTAGAATTAAGAAGGTTGCTGTATCTGGCCTCTCCTACTACTAAGAAGTATGCACAACAATTTAATGAAACTCTTTGTATTTTGGAGGAAATATTCATCTCATTTGGGCATGCTATTACAATCATTTACTGAGAAATCTGATAAAGTGCCAGTGTTGAATTGGGTCCAGACAACATGAAGAAAGCTCCGTAATAGGTCTATCCTGCCGTATAAGCTGCTCTGTGTCTTAAGCGATATGATCTCGCAAATCCAATGGTGCTTGAAGTGTTGGATAAGGATGTCTTTGGAGGCTCCTATAGGCAAATCACATTGCAGACTTTCAGGATTTTGGAATATAACTGAACAAATCTCTGAAGATGATGATTATCATTTTGGAAACTCTTTCTGGCTTGTTTCTTAGGCCTCGGAGATATTGAGCAGTTGGCTATGAACCACCAAATTTCTATGTGACCTAATAAACCTACTGTTAAATTGTTATTATCTGCAGCCCCCTGTACAAATCTGGCCATAGGCAGTAGCACTTGATCATAACATGAAAGTGGAAAACACAATTTTGAATTTACTAAGATCCTGAAGGAATAGGTAAGTAGCCTAACTATTCAGGTCCCATATTTGGTGATATTTTTCTTCTTCTCAATATGTGCCTATGGACTTATGAACATAAAAACCATGGTAACTGATTAAGGAAAAATGACAGTGGTGAAACAAATTTTTTTTCAGTGAGATAACTTTAAATAGCCAACTTGAATTTTGCCTAGAAGGGACACAGACTGAGATGTGGATTTGCAATGATACATGAAAAGTAGCAAAAGATTTGATCAGATGGTCAGAGATTTAGAAGAGAAACAATTGGAAATTGGAAACTAGGAAGTTTGGCTAAAATTTATGTTTTACATCTTTCCAAATCAGCAGAGTTTGTGAAGATATTTATGTCTGGTTTAAGTGCTCACAAAAAGGCAATTTCAACAGAAGAGGACGTTAACTATTGGGTAGATAGCAGAATGTATTCTATGGATATTAGTAAGCCACTCTTCCTTCTACCTATGTCTTTACCCAATGAGCTCACGGACAAAGTGGCCAGTTTTGCATGAACTCAGCAATGTAGATTTTCATTTGTCAAAACGGATCTGGCAACAGCTTTTGCTGTGTGCTCAATCTGCCAACAGAAAACCAACACAAAGCTCAGGATTTTCCACATGGGTTAACCAGTCATCTGATGGCAGAGTGATCACATTATATAATTTTCATAACCAAAATCACCAATTTGTTCTTACTAGAAAACTGATTTATTCTGGATGTGGATTTTCATTCTTTGTCTTCAGTGCATCTGTCCAAACCACCATCCACAGATTTTTGGAAATCCAGTTCATAACATGGTATGTCATGGAGGAGAAGGAATTCCTTTCACTACATGTGGAGTCCAACCTTGAGCCTATGCTTGTGGATTCCATCCATCTTTCCATTTCTCCATTAGCCTGAAGTAGCAGGTGTGGTAGAATGGTTTCATGTACTCAGTAGTGGTGCCAGCTGATGTAAATGTCCTGTAGGGATGAGACAATATCCTCCACATATAATTTTTCATTGGTATGCTGTTGTTTCCCCAGTAGCCAAAATTCATAGCTCTGGGAAATATTGAAGCAATAGGAATAACTCCTCTATTTGAACTTTTAATCAAAAAGTTAAAAGTTTGCTTTCTGTCCCTACTATATGTACTCTTCTAGTCTAGTGGTCACTAGAATTTCTTCAACCCAGAACTGGTCTCAAAAGCCATAACCTTGTAGAGACTTTTCTGACAAAACCCACACAAAGATTCTGCTTCTCCTATCAGATGCTGAGTGAAATATTTCACAAATGTTTATAGAATCAATGAATTAATAAGGTATAGCTGAAACTCTCTCAATTTAACTTTAAAGATAATACTTGTTAAATTCTATTCAGGAAATGAAAAGACAAATTGTTCTGGGGGAAGGGAATAATGACAATCATCAGAGACCACAGTAGTTAATAGGATGAAGGGTCAAATAGTTCATAATTGTGTGCATGAAATTGAAAATTCAGGGTGTTTAGATTCTCAGGGCTAATTCTTGGTCTAAATAAAGAACATCTTACGATTCTGTGTTGGGTTGTAAAGAATATGGAGCCATGATGAAGCAGATACCTCTGTCCAGAACTGGAGCCATTTGTGAAGCAGTAATGGTGAAGTTTAACACTTCAAATGCATTTAAAATCAAAGATTCACACAAATACAGACAGCATCAACCATGTACTTTGAACTATTAGAAGGTGCTGGGAAACCAACTCATACCTTTAAAACTGATAACTAAGAGAAAATAAAATATTTTTTTCCTGGCTTAGGATGGCAATCATCAAGAATACAGGCAACAATAAATGTTGGCAAGGATATGGGGGAAGAGGTACACCATACATTTCTGGTGGTGTAACCCCTGTGGAAAGCAGTATGGAGATTCCTCAAAATTCAGAATGGAACCACCATTTCACTCAGCTATCCCATTCCTCAGTTTATACCCAAAGGACTTAAAATCAGCATGCTACAGTGATGCAGCCACTTCAATGTTTATAGCAGCTCAATCACAATAGCTGAACTGTGAAACCAACATAGGTGTCCTTCAATAGATGAATGGATAAAGAAAATGTGGTGTATATATATTCAATGGAGTATTACTCAGCTTTAAAGAAGAATGAAATTATGGCATTTGCCTGTAAATGGATGGAGTTGGAGAATATCATGCTAAGTGAAATAAGCCAATCCCAAAAAATCAAAGGACAAATTTTTTTTTTAATATGTGGATACTAATTCACATTAAGGGTGAGAGCATTAGGGAAGAATAGAGTTTCTTTAGATTAGGTAGAGGGGAGTGAAGGGAGGGGATGTGGGGATAGGAAGGATAGTAGAATAAAACAGACATTGTTACTAATATATATATAATCTGCAAGACCAATGTGACTCTACAATATGTACAATCAGAAAAATGAGAAATTATACCCCCTCTATGTATGATATATCAAAGTGCATAAATTCATTCTACTGTCTATATATAGACAGTATAATAACTAATATATAACTAACTAATATAATAACTGATTAAAACAATTTCTTTGGGAAAAAAGAAAAAATCTTTATGGCAGTTGTTTCAGCTAATTAAAGAAGAAGAAATTAGATATTTCAGTATTACCATTTCAACTCCTAATGAATAAGTATAGATTTATCATAAATAGTTACTGACATGATAGCAGGAGTCTATATCCTGATAAAATACATACCACCATCTATGAAGGATTTCAACTGATGGATGGTTCAATGGAAGTGTAGCAAATAATTTACCAATTATTTGCTACACTTCCATTTGGTAAATTCATAAAAGTATAAAATGAAAAATTTATAAAAGCAATTTATAATTATCAAATTTATAAAAAACTAATCAATAGTAAAAAATAGAGGATCATATACAACTACATAAGGAAAAAACAATTCACTGAAATTAAAAATGGGGGAAACTCTACAAAACAAATGACCCAGTGTATTCAATAAATAAAAGAAAACATGAAGATGGAGGGAAAACTTTTTAAAAATTACTAAAATTACCGATGGGTATATTTATAGTTGGTAATTTTTTAATGTTTGGGTACCTAAATTATACCTGCATAAGATTTATTTTTTTAAAAAAAAAAATGGAGCTACAAAAAGTGTATGAAGGATTAGATTGTATTTAATTAAATATTAACCAAAAATGGAGATATCAGTGTTTAAATTTCTGCTTTATGTAAGACATTTAGTGATATTAAGGAATTGTTAATTTTACTGTGAATAACAGTTTTGTGGTCATGTTAAAATTTTTTAAAAGGCTGGGTATGGTGGTGCATTCCTGTAATCCTAACGGCTAGCATGGCTAAGGCAGGGGGATTATGAGTTCAAAGCCAGCTTCAGCAATTTAGCGAGCCTCTATAAAACTTGTGAGACCCTGTCTCTAAATAAAACACAATAAAGGGCTGGGGTTGTGCTTCAGTGGTTAAGTGCTCCTGAGTTCAATTCTTGTTACCAAAAAAAAAATTGTTTTAAAGACTCCTTATCTTTTAGAGCTATATACTGAAAAATGAAAATTAGAAGTTGGATTTTTAAAAATTTAAGTGATATAACTGTGTTCTACAGTTATAGAATATCATGAAAATAGGGTGAAAACTGGCATTTATCTGTAAGAGATTTCAGGAGGGAAGTCCTTTTGTATATACATATATTTTAAATTTTTTACATGGCAGCATAGTATATTTTAAAATATTATTCATACATAAAATAAGTATAACTTATTCCAATTAGGATCCCATTATTGTGGCTGTACATAAGGTGGAGTTACATTGGCTGTGTTTTCATATATGAGCAGAGGAAAGATATATTCGATTGATTCTACTATATTTCCTATTCTTATCCCCTCTCGTTTCCCTTCATTCCCCTTTGTCTAATCCAGTGAACTTCGAATCTTCCTTTCCCTTATTGTGGGTTAGCATCTACATATCAGAGAGAACATTCACCCTTTGGTTTGGGGAATTGGATTATTTCACTTAGCATGATAATCTCCAGTTCCCTCCATTAGGCCTAGTAATATTCCATTGTGTATATACACCATGTTTTCTTTATCCATTCATGTGTTGAAGGGCACGTAGTTTTGTTTCGTAGCATGGCTATTGTGAATTGAGCTGATATAAATATTGAAGTGGCTGTGTCACTGTAGCATGCTGATTTAAAAGTCCTTTGGGTATAAACTAAGAGTAAGAATAACAGGGTCAAGTGGTGATTCCATCCCAAGCTTTCTAAGAAACCTCCATACTGCTTTCCAAAATGGTTGCACCAATTTGCAGTCCCACCAGTAAGGTAGGAGTGTACCTATTTCCCCATGTCCTTGCCAACATTTATTGTTGCTTATAGTCTTCTGGGGCTTAAAAATGAAGTTTGTGTGGGGCTCTTCAGATTTGCCTGCAGTTTCACTAGCACAATAATAGGTGAAAGGCAGTGCACCCTGCTGGCTCCATTTTGATTTCCTGTGACCTCTGTCCCAAGCACTATTACCACCTGTTAAGTGGAAGCTCTGCTACAAGGTTGAAAAAGCATTTTAAAAATGATGCACACAAATCACCTTGGAGATATAGATGAAATTCACATTAGAGAGGTAATAAATCTATGATTTATTTCGAGTCACCTTATTTTCTTTCTGAAGAATTTTTGTAATTTGGATAATTGCTGGGCTGAGTCACCTCTTTTTCACTTTAAAAATTTGTCTTAAATAGAATACAAATTTTTTCAGGGAACATTTATTCCCTAGAATAAGTAGAAGCAGCTTAAAAATATATGCATGTGCATGCACATTTATTTTACATATATTTATATATGTGGATATGTAATTATGTATCTGTATGTGTATTTATATATAAACGTACTTGCTTGATGCATGATTGGAACTGCATAACTGTGGCTGAATTTATATGAAAGGAATAGGTAATTTTCTGATCATTAATAATGGTGGTAGCTATGCAGTCCAAGACAATGATATGGGTAATTGAATCTCATGCTTCAAAGCACAACGTGATTGCTGTAAGGAAATCAGGGGAAAATGTACTTGCCCCATGTTGAGCGTTATATATTTGAATACTTAGGCAGGTGGAGATGAAGAAAGATCACCTGTTCCTGAGGCATGAGGGATTTTGCTCAGTGGAACATCTCACTGGGTAACACAGTGACATTGGTTCTATATTAAAATGCACCATAATTGCCTCGAATGGAAATGTTTATTGAGACTATGGTTAGGGTCATGTCAAGCCATGGTTAAGTTTGTCTGAGAAAGTGGCCTGGAAGTTATAAAGAAAGGAAAGAAAGGAAGAAAGGAGGACCCAGGGATGGAAGAAAGAAGACTGCCTTCTAAGTTTCAGGAGCAAAGAGAACTAAGAATTAGAGTCGGAGCCAAGCAGCGTGGGCACTGCCACGTAGCAATGAGACCAAATCTTCCAGATACTTCAAAGGATCACTAGTAGGCAGGAATTCAGTGATATTTTGTCGAGTGGCAGCTCCTATAGAACTGCCTTTGATCCTCTACCCTAAGGCAGTGATGCATGCATGGCCCAGGTGGCTTTCTACTTTCTTTCTTCTCAGAGAGCTCTACACAGAAAATGTTCGCATGTATCCCTTCACTCGGCAGATGTTTATGGAACATGTCCTATGCCTATATCCTCTAGGAGGAAGAAAACATAGCAGAAACACTCCAGTTTCTCTCCACACCACTATTTCCTTCTTCTAACAGCAAAGCCGATGTTGGCTACAAATTCAAAGTTACGTTATTCAATCAGCTTTTGCCATTAATGATGATGGCATTTTAATTCATCTATCTCCCATGTCTTTTTTCTCCATTGATTTTTCAACTTGGGAAGGGAGGAAAGAATAACCTCAATTCTGAATACCAAGCAGTAGGAAAAAGTGACCACGCAGTGTCCCCTGGGTATCCCTGGGCATCACGTGGTTTAATTTCGTAGGCCATTCTCTTATTTTACAGTTAAAACAGTGGGTTCCCTGTAAAGTATCTCCTGGATTCCATCCCTCCTCACCAGGTTGGAGTAAGGATTTAAAACCCAGATTGATTTAAAAACTTGGATAGGGTCTAAGATTCTCTATGCTTCCTGTGTTTCTATCAATTGCACACTTTAATGCATTGCATTAAAACCATCTGTATTTCTTTAAATTTTTTCACCCCTGCTAGACAATGAATTCCGTTTAAAATAGAAACTTTTCCATATTTCTATTCTCATTTCCTAACACACAACTTTTCCTTGATAGAAGATTTCTGAATTAATTGAATCTTCCTCCAGAACTTACTTTCCTGAAATCTGAGCACCTATCATATTTGAAGTGATTTCTGAATTTATATGTCTAGTATTACATGCTGTTTACCAGGAAGAACAAAAAAATATGATTTTCATGGTACCAGAGAACTGTAAGGAATTCTCTTTGGTTTTTCCTCTGGCTAAGGAAGGGAAGGTTGAGGTGACGTTGTTGGCCCCAGAAGTCTCTGTGAGAGCCTTTTCACCAGAAAGTATCCTCTTTACCTCTAGAAATAATCATTATTCCATTAGGCTTCCAGCCACAGATTCTCTGTTTTTCCTGGTCCCTAAAGACTTACCTCAAGTTTAAGGCACAGGCTTAGGACAGTATCTTCTTATCCATGTCTTGTTCTTCCTCCTGCCCCTGCCAAGTGTCCTGCATGGAGAAGGAAGGCTCTTGGGTTATGAGAAGCATGCCTAAGTGTTTGACATTTGTCAAATCGTTTAACCTTTGAGGATTAAGTTCTTCTTGAAGGGATTGAGAAGGACTCCTGGATTCTGCATCTCTGTAGTGATGAAGAGGAACTGGAGATACTAGGATTACAAGAGTTAAACATTAAGAGTCTATTTCTAGGATGCCTCCCTTAATTCATTCAGTGCACATATATCTCCTTCCTCCAAAGTCCCAAAGCAGTTAATATTCTGAACCACACAGTTTCTCAGCTGATTATATATATTGTTTGGTAGTGCTCACTGATTGTTTCTTTTATGAAAACCTTGCTTCTGTAAATAGATTGTATAGTCCTTGGCTTAGGAAACATGTCTTCTGCTTCCTCCTATTCCCCACACATCAGCTCTTTCTTCCTCTCATTTTCTCTGTGCCTAACTAATGGCCTTTTCTCTTTGTCCTCTCCTCTGGTTCTAAATAGTTATGTGTAGGGCTCTTCATGACCTGTGAAACATTTTCTTACATATTAAGACATTTGGTTCTCATCGACATCCTAGGGATTCAGTATTGATCTTGTTTTCATTACTGAGACTGAAGAAGTTGAGTCTCAGAAGAGAAGCGAACCCCACAGTGTCTGCACTTATTTAAATAGTAGAACTGAAGTTGGAAGTAGAACTAGGTTCTTTTCATTAACTCTTGTGTTTTAACCATTTACCTTGTCTTATGAAAACAGAAATAAAGATGAGAAAGAGAAAGAAAATTAAGATACAGGGTGTTAAGAAACTTTTACTATACTATTATGGCACATGATTTATGGTGGGGCTACATCCCAATAAATGCATTGCAGCTGAAAATGTCCTAACTCAGAGGTTCGTCATCTAAGCTGCTGAACACCATGGCTCAGGGACACAGAAACTGCAGAGAGTAGGTTGTTTCCCCCTGTGACCACGGGCTGCCTGGGGGGTATGGCTGGCTGCCAATGCCCAGAGTCTTGAAACAATATAATGACAAAATAGCCCTTGCCCAGGAAAGGACCAAAATTCAAAATCTGAATTCCTGTTTCTATCCAATAAAGACTGCTTTCACACCACCTTAAAGTTGAACCATCTTAAACTGAGGACCATTTGTATATTGAATTGTGAATAAGTGGAAGTAGTCCTATAAAATACTTGCAGACAAGTATTGAACAGTTGAAGAATGTAAAAGGAATGTGTGAAGTACTCATGAGGTCACAGCAGAATTTAGACAGTGTCCCTTTCTTGGGGTGACCTTAGCACTTCAACCCACAGTCAACACAGAGGTGATTGTGATTCCCCTTCCTTTACACCAGGACCTCAGTTGTCTAGATCATGGCCGGGCACCAAGAGAGAAGCAAGAGAGTTCATGAGAGATAAGAATAATGTGAAAAGTTACATGCACTGATGTCATACCTTTTTAAAAAAAAATAACGTATTGCTCAAGTATTAAATTTGAGGTGGCCAGCTTGCGCTTATCTTTGATACGCCCTTTATTATGTGGAGTTTCTATCTCACAACAGATTGGGAATGAAGTTAGGAAACTGACATTGTAAGAAGCACTGGGATAGTGGTCTGGTCAAAATTGATTCCATAAAAGTTGTAAGAAAATATAAAGAAAATATAAAGAGAATTTAAAACTCCATAGGATCTAACATTTTATTAGTACTGATTATACATCCAAAGGAAAAGAAATCATCATATCACAAAGATACCTGCATGCTCATGTTTAGTGCAACTGAATTCACAAAATCTGTGATATGGAGTCACCTCAGGTGGTCACAATAGGTAAATGGATAAACAAAATGAGGCATATATACACAGTGGAATATTATTCAGAACCAACTAAGAATGGAATCTATCATTTGTGGCAACATGGAGAGAAGAGGAGGGTAGTTTCCTAAGTGAAACAAGCCAGACACAGAACCAAATACCAGAAATTCTCACTAACTTATGGAAGCTAAAACAGTTGATCTCATAGAAGAGAGTAAAACTGTTCACTTGAGACTAGGAAGGGGTGCGCACATAGAGGGAGGTTGGACAATGGGTACCAGATCGGTTAGAAAGGAGGGATCAGTTCTAGTGTCCTAAAGCACAATAGATAACTGTAGTCTACAGCAGTTTATTATATACTTAGAAATAATTAGTAAAGTCCAAAGTTTTCCAACATCAAAATGACAAACGTTTCAGGAGATGAAAGTGCTCGTTAACCTTCTTGATCATTAGACATTGTGTACATGTGTCACATTGCACTGTACCCCATAAAGGTACAATGTGTGTCAAAAAAAATTCTAGTAGTTCAGGGCCATTTACAAAGGGCATCACTGGTACAGCCCGACAAGCCTTCTACAGGAATTACCTACATATTCATTGTCCATCTGCTCTCCAATTCAGAATTTATATGCCAGGCACTGTTGGAAATCTGAGCATATTAAGAAGGAGTCACCCAGAGTTTCTGTTTGTATCACACTCAGTTGATTTAGGGGCAAGAAGTGACCAAGAATTGAAATGAAGTCAGCGAAAATGAGACATCAAAGAAGAATGAGGTGTTGGATGTTTTCAATGTCTTCAGAGCATAGAGAAGCATCTAACAGCCAATATGCTGGTGGAGAGGAGTCAAGTCAACGAGGTGAGGAAATTGACAGCAGAGTGTGTGGTGAGGCAAGGAAACCAGTCATTCACTGCATAAGGCCAAGATGGGAAGAGAATATCCAGACGAAGCCATAGGAGTGACAGTGTCTACTCTGCATAAATAGGAATAGAAGAAGAGTGGCAGAGTGACGGAGGAGACACAACCCCTCTCACTGTGCATCTGAATAATGCCTTCCACGATTTGTCTTTGTGGAATCTTTCCGAAGCAAGACAGTAACTATATTAATAAATTTGTATCCTCCAGAATGTCTCTTTCTGAAACAGAAGTGGCCACCTGAGTACGTATGATTTAAAATGCTTCTAACAGTAGTTCTGCCTCTGTGTCCGAAAGCCCAATGGTAATGATTTCTCGAAATGTTGAAATCTTTTGTTCTAATTCACTATTAACTCGTAGGTTTAACATATTAATCTAGGAGTAGCAGTTAATTCAACCGCTAATTTATCAAAGCCCTGAGGAAAAGACATGGCTAGTAGGCATGTGGTGCCGGAGATGGGAGGATGGCGGTAGGGAAAGCATCTCCCGGAATAGAAAAGGTGGTGATGTTCAGATGTACTACTAACTTCTGGTACAGCTTCTGAGAAAGTGTAAAGACTGGGGGTGGCAAGTAAGGAGATGGGCTGACGGTAAAAATGACTCAAAAAATATGCAGCATCAATATGAACAATGACCTACATCAGGGATAGCCTGGTCTTTGCAGTCAGGAGTCCAGATGAATCCAGCATGCGGAGCTGACACCACCATCCCTTCAGCAGTACCATCAGGGGTGAAGGAGCCTCTGAAACCATTTGCAAAACATATACATTATCTTACTCATATCAGTTAACGTAGAAAACATCCTGGTCATCCCTCATCTCCAAACTCTGCTTCTCACACAGATCTGCACACTGCCTGTTCTGTCTCCTTGTTCTAGTCCTCCCCAGCTCTGGGCTCCCTTCCACCATGCCTTCCTGAATTCACAATCATAGTTGGAAAATATAATCTGTCTTGTCAATCACTTCTCTGAGATTTTCTTCCTTCCTTCCTTCCTTCCTTCCTTCCTTCCTTCCTCTCTCTCTCCTTCCCTTCCTCCCTTCCTTCCTTTTTTTTTTTTTGTTAGTGGGGGTTGAGGCACTTAACTATTGAGCCACATCCCCAGCCTTTTCTGATATTTTCTTTAGAGGCAGGGTCTCACTAACTTGCTTTGGCCCTTGCTAAATTGCTGAGGTTGCCTTTGAACTTTCGATCCTCCTGCCTCAGCCTCCTGAGGCGCAGGGATTACAGTGTGACACTGTGTTCGACTAATGAAGGTTTTCTTAATCTTGACACAACTGACTCTTTGGGCCAGGTGATTACATGTTGTGGGAGGCTGCTCTCTGCACTGTGGGATATATTTCATTATATGTGGCCTTCATTGACTAGATACCAGGACTTTTCCACCCCAAGTTCCAAACATTGCCAAATGTCCCAAGGGGTGGGGAGGTTCAGTGGTATAAAATCATCCCCTTTGAAGACCTGTATACTGATGGCCCATGCCCCATGACACAGCTTTCATTCAAATCCTCTTAGAGTGTGGCAAATTTCATATCCAACCTCCAGTTCTATCAGCCCACCAATGGGGCTGAGATGGAGAGAATGACTTTTTCTACTTAGGATCACATCAGATCATTCTCCTTCCTTCCTACTCCTCCTGCCACCAAAACATTTTAGCTTCAATTATTATGTCATCAGATTACATCACCCTCTTCTCCTCATTGTGGTTTCATCTACTGATTTCATATCATTCTTCCCTCAGTTTTTTTATTATTATTTCAGCTCCTGGTTCTTTGTATTAATTATTTGCAATTTCAGAGCACAGAAAAATTATTATTCTAACAACTTGACCCTCAGTTTCTTGGATTCCTTTCCTTCAGTGATCTTGTCCTTTACCTACATTCGACTCTCTCCACGGACACATCCTAGACATTGTAATTACTAATAAGATGAAATTGTAATTATTGAAATTTCTCCCCCATGAATTGAATTCCATTCATCTTTTTCTCTCTGATTCATTTACTCTAGCTTGCTGGATTAGCTCTGGTCCTCTGAGAACTGCATGACTGATGTACCAGCCTAAATATCATGGGAAGGAAAGTGGTGGGCACTGGGAAAAACTTGAATTGCAGTGCAGGTTCTATAGAGGAGAAAGGGAAGGATGGAAGCTTGGATGGGAAAAGTCTTGGATTGCAAAGAATTTCTAAGAGAATTTTCCCAGAGCTCATTGAGAGCTGTTTAGCCAAAGTTGTCTGTCAAAAGTTTCCTACATCTCCCGGGAATGATTCTGCCTTAGTATCCTTCTTGCAATCAGGAAGCTGATCTTGGGAAGTTTGACCTACTAATAGTTATAGATTTCAGAATACAGAATCCATGGCTATTGGCAATTATATTTCTTGTATTTGTAGATCTGAATGATGAATTTTCATAGTTTTCACAGGTCTGCATTCCAATAATCATCACTCTTCTTTCCCTATGCATACCTGGGAACTCTAATCCCTTAATCTACCCCCTCCCATTAATTATCTATTGACATTTCTTTTTTCTTCTTCAGCTTTAATTACATTGGAATTGTAATAACTTCCTTGCACAACTCCCGTCTTCTCTGGGTTAGTCAGCTTTTCATTGCTATGATAACATACCAGAGAAAATCAACTTAAAGGAGAAAGAAAAATTTGTTCTGATTTATTCATGTTTTAGAGGGTTTTCTTTTGGTGGTGGGGGGGTACCAAGAACTGATGAACTTAGGAGTACTTGACCACCAAACCAAATCCCTAGCCGTGTTTTGTACTTATTTAGAGGCAGAGTCTCACGAGTTGCTTAGAACCTCACTTTTGCTGAGACTGGCTTTGAACTTGTGATCCTCCAGCTTCAGCCTACTGAGCCACTGGGATTATAGGCCTGAAATGTTTTAGAGGTTTTGATCCATGCTGTCTTAGCGTTTGTATCCCTGGGCTTTGGGTGAGACAGAATATCACCGGCAGAGCCCAGGGTAGAGCAGAGCTTCTCGCCTTATGATATACAGGAAGCACCAAGAAAGCAAGGAAGTGGCTAGAGACAAGATATATCCTTCCAGGGTGTGTGCCCAGTGATCTGCTCCAACTGACCCCCACCTATAAACAATCCATCTAAACTCTGAACCCATTCAATGGATTCGTCTATTGATGAGACCAGAGCCCTCATGATCCGATCACTTCTTAAAATCCTAAGCTCTAAAAATCATTGCACTGGAGGCCAAGCCTTCAACAGGAGTTTTGAGACCTTACAGGTCCAAATGCTAACACGCTCTCTTGCTTACCACAGTTAATGCCGCTCTTCACCCACCCCATGGCTATTCCCATTCAACCGAATAAGGCTAAAGGAAAAAACAGTTTCTTCTCCATCTTCACCTCAATCATGATCTTGTCTCCTATTTTCCCAAGAAAACTGTAACAATAGGAAGAGAACTTGCCCAAATTAACATAATTACAGCATTCCATTCTCTCCAAGACCAGTCTCTGTTAGCAAACTTAATCCCATCCCTTTTGGTCTAGGATTTTGCTCCCTAGTGTGTCACTCCTACAACATCAGTTTTGACCTCTGCACTAGAGCATCTGCATAAGCAAACAAAATTCTGTTGTTTCCCTCTTCCTTAAAAAAAACAAGATGCTTCTTCCCTATCTATACTCATTCCTTTGATGACCTCATTCAGTTTCATGGTTTTAAGTTTTACCTAAATGTCATTGACTCCAAAACTTGTCTAGTCCAGTCCTCTTCACAAATTCTGGACTTGTACATCTAGCTGATGAGTTAATATCTCCACTTGCATGACTGGTATACCACTCCCACTCACTAAGGTTAGAAGTGAAATGCTGATTTACTTTCCTGAAAATTGCTTTGCACCATTGCAATTGACACAATCCTGTTTTTCCAAAATACCTGAGTCGTTTTTGATTCTTCTCTTTTTCTTATTCCCCCTATCCAGGAAATCCTGTTGGCTCTACCATCATAAAATCCAATCTGGCCACTTCACACCACTTTCACTGAGACCACTCAGGTTTCAACACACCATATCTCATTGACTTGCAAAAATTCTACCTTTTTCTGTTCTTGTTAATATTCTGCATTCAATAGGAATGTGTGATCTCTCTAAATGAATTTTAATTTCGTATACTATGTGCAAACTATTGCAGTGACTTCTTCATGCAATCTGAAAAAGAAAGAAAGAAAAAGCCACTGTCTTTACAGTGGCCTGCAAACCTTGTATGATCTGCCTTCCTCAACCCACTTTATCTTCCCTGCTCTGAAATCTTCCCTTTCACTCTGCCATAGCCGCTTTACCCATTTTTATTCCTGGAACATGCTAAGAAGGATTTTTCCTTAGGTCTCTGTTCTGACTTTTCCCACTGACCAGTCCCTCATCTCTCAGACAGCAACTTCCTTTATTCCTTGTTCAAATACCACCTTTCAACGTAGCCTATCAGACTACCCTTTTAAAAATGGCAATTGCCTCCTTCAGCTACCCAATTCTTCTTTATCTTGCTGGACTTATCTTTAGTTTTTCGACAGACATATTGCATGCCAATGTGCTATATAATTTACTTCTTTATTATGTTTATCACTTACTGTCTATCTACTTGGTAAATTGCAAACTCTGTGCTAGCAGGTATTGCTGTTTTCTTCCTTGATGTATCCCAAGTGTCTTGAACATTATCCAGCCACTAGTAGAGCTTAACAAATATTTGTTGAATTAACTATGAATGAATGGTACATTGAACTTGGTGAACTTATATATTTTGTCTCGTTTTATGCTTACCTGGTATGGGGGTGGTATAGCTTTGGTTCTTCAATAGTTTTTCTTAAGATTTGAGAAGAATTCATACGTCCATACATTTATTGAATGGCAATTAAATGAGTGGTATTATTCTGATGAATATCAATGACTGAAAACAGAATTCTGCTTAGAACAAGCAAAATGTGTTCCTTTTCTTCTAATAGAAATAGCTTATAGTCATATGCCCAAAGAAGATAGATTTATAAGGGGAAGAAATTTTATTTTCTTTGGAATTTAGGCCATTATTCATCAGTAGTTCTGCCATTCTGTGACTTTATCATTCTTTCACTATATATTGAAAGCCTATTGTGAGCTAAACACCTAGCCTTGAAAACATCCCCAGCTTCAGTGGGATTAGGATCAGGGCCAGGGATAGGGAGGAACAAATACATTATTTTCTCCTGAGCATCCATTTAGACCAGTTCTGCTAGGATGTGTCATTCTACCACAAACAGGCAGAAACCATATCACATGACAAAAAAGGGTATGTTCTTAAGACAAGGATACTCCTGTCCAAAAAAGAGGACTTACTGGCTGGCACAAGCTTAGACGCAATTTTGGAAACTGCTATTTCACCTTAAGCCTGTTAAAGGAAATACTCTAATACATCCTCTGGTGATGATTTGAGTAGCCTTCCCCAAATTGTAAATTATTTTAAAGTATGATGTTTTAAATTAGATATATTTGGAAGATTAGAAAAATTGAGTGTATTCAGGTCAACTGATTATTAATCATGTGTTCTTTTTAAATGTTGTAAGAGCTGCATCTGCATCTTTATCCCTAACCATCCCTTCCGTATGGACTTAAGTTTGCAGTTTGAAGTATTTAAAATGTAAAACAACTCTCTGTGTTTTTAGGAGGTATTCCAGAGGTATTCACTTGTATCCTCTATAACTTCTGACCATAATTCTTCCATAAACTGGAGCTTTAGTTAACACCTGATAGCACATATAAAAGGGATTTCTGTGTCCCAAAGAGAACAGGCCATGCAACTGGAGCAGATGCATCCACACAGGTTCACAATCCTGATAGACTCCCAAGGAAAACATTCTGCTGCCACTGAGGCTAAATCAACTGGACACCTATCCTACCTGAAGGAGTCAGGTGGGAATGAGTTGCTCCAGCTGGCAGGTTAAGCAGTCAGGGTGCTCTGGAAATTCAACACAAGAACCTGCCTGGATTTTTAGCTGCTGCAAAAAAGCCCAACTAAAGCCACTTTCCATTTTTAGGTTAGAGCAAGCATTGACCAGAGTGGGTTGCATGGTGTGACTGATTTTCTGTTTGCAGTCTCTGGCAGAGGGCTGAGGAAAGCCACCTAAGGTCTCCAGCCACCAGTCTGAACCTTATTTTCCCTGAAAACTGATCCTTGGGAAATTGCACACTGGTCAAGTGAAATGATAAGGTGGAGTTATACACTGAATATTCACATTTGTTTCTTGCTTGGGAAACTTATTTAAGTTCGTCTAAAGCTATAATCCTGAAAAAGGGTAATATAATTTTCCATTAAGCTGAGTATGATTATATTTGCAAACATGAGTGAAACAATCAAGTTTCTTTGGAGATATGCTGTGGGAGGTCAGAGGACCAAGCTCCGTCAGAAGTTGTAAGTCTTTCCCTATAGATGGAGTTAGTCTGTTATTCAAGGAACCGAGAAAGGGAGGGAGGGAGTGGAGGATTTGTTTCATCTCATTTATTTTACAGCACAGCAGCCTGTTGTTGCTAATGACAACGTGGATGTGAAAGAAAATGGAAGTGAAAGGTTTGGACTTTGCTTTGGTATTGTAATATTCCCCATTACTGTACTGGAAAAAAAAATGGCTCCTTGGAATCTTGGGT